ATTCAGACACTAATTCACATATCTCAGTTTTATACTCCATCTCACAACTCAATAACCCAGATATTGAAACCCCTGATGAATTTGCAGACTCTGAACCATCTCCATCCAATAATTTTCAAACCAACTCCTCAGTTTTTTCAAAACCCCCTTTTCAACCAATCCCGCCAAATAACCCACTCCCATCGATTTCTACACCCTCTTATGCTTCACAAGTCACCCCAACCTACTCTTCATTTCATTCAGACCGATCATCCAATTCTCCAGATACTCCCCAAATCTCCCAGGAACTAGATAATTTTATCACCCTACAACAACAACCCTTCCACCTTGAAAATTACACTATAAATCAGATTTCATCCACAATAGAATCATCAAACCCACCTACCCCTACACCCTCTTCAGCTTATACCGCATCATTAGCACCATCCTCCACATCCACCGAATCATCAAATAGCACTAATAGAGCTTATCGCACTTTTAAAAGAAAATTCCCGAACCATCCATTTCCAACAAAACCAGGAACAGCCCGTGAATATATTAATCATCCAAATCACACTAACACGAAAGATTTTTTAGCCATCACCCTACCCTCATTTCCACAGTATACTTTGAACACCCCTAACGACACTAACAACACACGCAGTTTTGTAGATGAACACGTTTTAATGCCTACACTTCAATGGACATCATATTATCATTTTACTAACCCCCTTTGCCTACCTTTATCTAACACTCACATCGATATAGAAAGAAATAAAGATATGCTATATCGACTCACCACACCACTAACACATAGACAATTTACTTATATAGGATATAAAAAGTCACTAAAAACATACACTGCACCCCGAGCTAACGAATACACGCTAGAATATTACGATCACAACATCATCCGAACTAACCAAGACCAATTTTTAGATGATGACCGTTTCGCTAACCCACAAATCACAGAAAAATTTTTCATCAAAACACCATATGTATTTACACTCATTATATTTGATCGCAAATTCGACCACATCATTTCTGAAGCACTAACCGACACACAAGCTTACGAAAATTTTAAAGAAAAATTTCAATTATTTTCACTAACCTTTCATTTCCTTGCACCACATGAACGAGATTTGCACTGCTCACACGATATTATGTTACGCACTAAACAAACCCACACATATACATATTATCGCTTCATACAAAATCACTTTGATCTACAAACTCCATCAAGACAACCACACCACCGTTTTCAATTTATTAACTCTAAGTACACTTCACCATTTTTTCTTAACTTCACATATTGCATCAAAGATACTAACCTTCACGGCATTCTTCGCAATTATGATCCCATAACCCAAATGTATATTTTTTGTCCCATCACAAAGACCTTCAACGCAGAAGAATCCAGACCCTTCCTTATCCCACATGAATTTGTTCAACCTATAGAACTCCCCATATTAGAAATCATCCACAACACTAAATATAACCACAAATTATATAATATCATTCAAAACACACCTTATGATTTTGCAGTTGGCACTGAAGAACTAAAAACCATTAAAGCACTTCAATTGCTTTGGCCACTGCTTCAAACTAAAAACATCATTCGCATACTAGCAAAGTTACTAACAAATTCCGACATAATCCACGACATCTTCCCCCACGGTTTTTTCCCCGACGACTAACAGGTAAGTATAATTTATACATATTCTTAACTAATAAATTTAAAATAAAACACTAACCATTCTTTATCCATGTTTTATTTAGATTTTTAGTCTTCATCTCACGATCATCTGCAAAATACAATAAAGAAAAATAAAAAATCGAAAACTTCTTCAAATTCTTCAAAACTCTATTAATATTTAACACTAGATAAATTCAATAAAATTCATACCAATGTAGTAAATTAATTTATAAATTATTTCCCTAAAAGCAGTAATTCTAATAATGATGAAAATTTGTAACTTAATTTTTCCCCAAAACTAGCAGTAAAATTGAAATTCTATGTAGTAAATTGATAAGACGAAAACGCAGTACTAATCTTTTGATATTTCCATTCACTCGCACAAGAATTCTATCCAAACTCGCATAGCTCGCCCACGAAGAATTGTTTAAATAATGAATTTCAGTTTCAAGCTTTCACACTCAACAACTCTAACACACGATAACAAGTTTCAATCTTTCCTTTAACCCGGTTGGAAAGGAATTATATACTAAACAAAACTAACCAATGCAGCTTACTAAACACCACAACACATAGAATAACAGCATGACTAAGAAAAGGAAACCAACGGTACCCAAACCGGATTAACCCAGTTTAAAACTGGATAATTTATTCTTTTGTAGACTATTATAAAGTCTAAGAAAGAAATAATAAAACACAAAAAAGTCGAAAGACAAACCCATACCAAAAACAATTTGATTTTTGAAAAAAGGACACAACCAACGAAACATAAGAAAAACCACAAAAAACCCAACATAAAAATTTATCACATAACAGGACCTCTCACAGAAACCGCACGAAATCATACTCCCACTCCTGGCCTAACCCACCAGAGAGGACGTCCTGAGCATGCTCTATAGCCGGCCTAACCCACCGCGCTACATCCACGCTCTGTGACCACACTTCTATTTTTAATAAGAGGTACTCAAGGGTGAGTAACTCTTCAAAATAACCGAACTAAAACAAAAAGTTTTTGTGAAAACAACTAACCAAAATCATAATTAAAACACCAAACTAATAAAAATTTTATAAAATGTAAATTATACCTTGCAGTATATAGATCAGCATACAACACCAAAGACGAACATCCAAAGACAAAATGACCCCACTACACTCGAAAAAGAATGGCCAACCACAATCAATATGCCGCCCACAATCACAACTCAAAGGATTTAGAGTACGACTTGACTTCGCAGAAAAGGACTTCATTGAACTAGAAGAATGACCAACTCGATGTTCAAGTATACGTACAGATCCGAGTAACCAGGCATCCCCTCCACGCACAATCTCCTCGCCATTCCCAGACAAGGTCAACCCAAAAGAAGTTCTCTACATGGAACAGAAAAACCTGTCATAGCCAACCATTGTGAAATCAGATTTGAGTTTCTTGCGAAAACCCAGTCGTTGTCATGAGAAGACACAGCGATTGAACCTGGAACTTCTCTAACACGAAAACCCAGAAGAATTATGATGTTCGCCAAATACCAACGTCCATCATCCATCCTTTGAATTACAGAAGACTATTCTAAAAAACTCTGTAAAACCCGGATGGGTGGAACCTGATCTAAACTACATTTTATGATTGGATAAATTAGATATTTTACCATTGTAAAGTATTTAATATTAACCAATCATGATCCATCTAACTAACAACCCACTTATTTGTAAGTGCTGAAATTACTTGTAATTTCAGCACCAGAGAGATTTGAATTTAACTTAGAAATTAGTTGACTCTCCAAGAGAACTTCAGCAGCCGCAATAAACCAGTATACCCTAGATCTATTGAGCCTAGCAGAGACTAGTTAAACAACCTGAGACTAGATAAGTATAAGAGTAAGATTAGGATCGGTATTAGACTAAGAAGTTGCACGAATCTATCCGGCCGAAAATAAGATAGCGTGACGAGCAGACGGTGTACCCTATCCGAAATTACTCTATGAGTTAACCACCTTGGTTATAACTCATTAGTCATATCACTACCAGGTTTATAGCTTCTAAGCAATTTTAGGGATTTTTAACCTATTCAGCTCAAATTTTGTTTGATTTCAATAATTTGATTCTGGAATAGATTATGCTCAATTCTGGTTGCCTGAAATTTAAGGCGTTGCTGAAATATTATTTGAATAACTTGACTGAATATTTGAGCCAGCGTGGGAGATTTTTTCAAGTTTTGAATAATTAACTAACCAATTTGGATGGACTTTGAACATAAAAGGGCAGTGGAAACATTCGGGACGTCGCCTGATACGAGCAGTCTTGTTCAATTGTAAATATTGAACGGGGACTATTTAGTGAAAAAAGAAAGATTCACTGGGGCAATTTCTAGGGATCTACTTAACAATCCTCCCCCTATGGTTTCTACTAAAAATTACTACCATACAAAAAAGTAAATTAGCGTTCACATGAGTTATTAATTAAAAAGAGCGTTCTATTGGTAGCGTCACTCATGATAGAGAGACTGGAAGTTGGAAACTTATTTTCAGTTATTTTTAGCTAATCAGAATTGAGTATTCGAAAATCTAAGAGAACTAGCGAAAACCTCAAAGCAAGCAATTAAATCCAGGACGTTAAGACTAATAAGCAGATACATGAAGTTTCAAGAATTGCAAAACCAAAAACGGTATTTTGTTTTGAATGAACCTGAAACATATTTTATAAAAAGAAAAAATAAATCAAAGTTTTTTGTTTTCTGCACGAATTGTACAGCAAAAATTTGCTCTGCTGTTTTAATTCATTCTCTATTAATAATAACTCCGGTATTGCGCATTGGCCATTCAGCCAATAGGAAATTGCAACGATTTTAATTGGCTTAAAAATTTCCAGCACTCGTTCCCTCCATCATGAGAATATCCCCCCGTTCTATATATTCTATATATACTACAAACTTTGCTGCGTTCTGATTGGTCGAAAGTTCGAATAACTTAAATAATTATTATTTCTTGAAGGGGAGTAATTGTTAAGTAAAACCAACTTTTAGTTGATATAGTTTTTTTGTTGTCATTTTTTGGTGTCTTAATTCGTTGTGTGGTATGATTTTAAAAATTATTTCAGCTTTTTTTATGTGTAGACGAAACTTTTTAAAATAAACCGCTTTTTAAAAAGATACCGCTTTTTAAAATAAAATTAATAAAGTTGAGGTTGAAGCGCAGTTTCTAGCATATCTTCTGGCATCGCCTAACTTGCCGGAAAAATTTGGGAACAAGCGCTTATCTTTACTTTGATCTATTTTTTCCGCAATTAATCTGAAAACATCAAAAACAAAAAATTATCCTGAGCAGAACTTCTGTGTAATAATTAACTGATAATCGTATCATTTTCCACATTTTTTTGATTGATTTTTTCAGCTCTGAAATTTGGTTCCATTCTGCTTAAATTTGCAAATTTTCAAGTTTGTATAAATTCACTCTGCACTGACAAGAAATGGCAATCAACACGACCGAATCCATTGTCGCTAATAGATCGACAGGAGTAAGTTTTGGACCTGTTGCAGTAACTACAACATTTGACTGGGATGCGATGATGAGATTTCTCGAGGAATTTGACGTGACTATAGCGAGACTTGATAGCGCGCGAATCTGGGTTATGCTCTTTCTGGTAAGCAACAACGTGCTATTAAAAACAAAAGCATAGTCGGCTCATCAGCCGTCATTTCATCTACTCACCCCCCCCCCCATCGCGGGCCTGACATACGAACCAATTTGCGGCTTTTCTATCCCCACAACTGCCAACCTGCAACCTGTTCTATTTTTCTCTGTTTAAATTTGTCAATTGTCACAAAAAAGCCATGCAAGTTGATAAGCCATTTGGCAAATACATTTGATCCTCATGAACAACTTCGCAAAATCAATATTTACTCAACGATTTTATGAAGCTAGGTGAGAGTAAATGAGGGAAGTTGTATGCAAGAAGAGTGTGCAAAGGAAAAATCAACTAACTTACCAATCTTCATGACAAATTGTGAAAATTAAGCAAAGATGGAAGCTCGGAAAAGAATTGATGATTGAGGAGGGGGCTAAAATAGCTGCGTATGATCCACTTAATGAATATTTATCAATGAATATGCTATAACTTAATTTATGGGTACTTTTTGCGCCCGTCTATGCAACAATTATCACATAATCAATATAGCACATTATGAATCAGCTGCTGGTAGAAGAGCACGTGTCTGGACAACTGGGTCCAAGACAGTTATGTCCCGGAAAAACTCTCCGAAACTCGAAAAATGTCCGACACAATTGGTTCTCTGACAAAATTGACCTGGAATTGTCTAAAAATTGTCCACCTAATTGCCGCCCTAATGAAATTATGTCACAATTTCAGATAAGGTTCACTATTCGTCTGTTCGTCATGCTGTCTTACTTTCGGCCGGAAAGATTCGTGTGCAACTTCTTAGTCTAATACCGATCTTAATCTCACTCTTATAAACTCCTACTCTCAATAGATCTAGTGTATACTGGTATTTGCGAGTTAGTCATCTGGAACGGTAACTGTTTGCTAAGTTAAATTTTTTCTGTTCTGGCTGAAACTATAAATTCTTTCAGCCTTAAAAATTATTGTAAATGTTAGTTATGGATCATGATTAGTTAATTCTAAGTATTCTACAGAGATAGTTTATCAAGAATGTAGTAGGATCAAACAAACACTTGTTTTGAACTGATTCCACCCATCCGGGGCTTGGACATTTTTCAAATTTTAAGTTTGTTGTGGTGAAGGACGGATGGAGAAGATGTTTTTTTTTATTCTTTGGAGTAGAGTCTCTTAAAGCAGTGGTTGCGTGAAGGAATAGGAAGAAACAGCTGCTCGTGTCGTGGAGTAGTTGTCGTCGTAGAGAAAGAAGAAGTACAGTTGTTCGTATTTCAGAAGTGGCTTTCGTATATCTGGGTTGAGTTGAGTGGCCGTGTCAAGATTCCAGAATTATACAACGACGTGTCAATTTCGTTAAGTAGAGCGAGACTAAGTGCATTTTCAATTATTCATCGAAGAGCGAGGTATGGGTTGATTTCTCTGTCTGTGTGAAGCGCCAAGTGACTAGGATTCGTATTTAGTTCAAAATCGAGACGGCCATTCTTCTTGTTCAATGGGCACCTTTGCTGCGATGTTGGTTCCAGACTTTAAATCCTAAGAGGGTTGTGGCTACGGCAACAAACCCATAGGTTTGCCATTACAGAGTCGAAATGTCATCGTGTATCATCTCCCTTTCTTGTCGTTGCCTTTTTTTTAAAAAATCTTCTCACGTTATTTATTTATATCTGCATTTTGTTAGTGAGATCAGTTTTAGTTGTGATTGCTTTTAATTGTTTTAGCAAAAACATTTTATTAGCTTCCGTTAATTTAGGGAGTCGCTCATCCTAGAACTACTCTCATCAAACATAAGGAGTGCGTCGTACGCGTGGTTTAGCGAGGTGGATGAGGCCGGCTATAGAGCTTGCTCAGGACGCCCTTTTTTGGTGGGTTAGGCCAGTTGCCGGTGTATAATTTTACCGTCTCGTTGAGCTGAGTCTCTTTTCGTGTTCAACCTTTTGTTCTTTTTTCTATCAGGTTGTTTTTTCTTTTGGTCTTTAGTTGTGCCCTTTTTTCAAAAACAGATTGATGTGATTTGCATATTTTTTTTTGTTTTTTTTTTGTTTCCAGTGGTTTTAATAGAACTTTAACGCGAGTTTCAACAGAAAAATTTGTCATAGATATTTTATCATAGATTAAAACTTTTTGTCATAGATGCGGTTGGTTATTTGGCATTGGTAAGCTGCGTTGGTTAGCTTAAGCAAATCAAAACTCCTTCCATTCGGGTTAAAGGCAAGTTTGAAACGCGTCAAAAAAAGTTAAATTTGTTATCAATTTTTTTTCGAAAACTAGAAATTCATTTATATAACAATTCTACGGTGGCGAGTTACTCATTTTTGGGTGAAAATATTGCGTAAAATTTACTTCACTGACATAGTTTATGCCACATAGTTAAATTTTCAAATAAGAAAAATTAAAAAGACTTTGATTTTTATTTGCTTTTTATTTTAATTTTATTCTTTCGGATGAATGATAGATGAAATCTAAAAAGAAAAGGTAAGACACACGTGTAGAACTTGTGATTTTTTTTGTATTAGTGATAATGTAAATTCATACTTACGATGGATCTGGGTTGGAAAATTTTCGATGGGGGAAGTAAGTCTTGATAGAGTCGGAGGTTATTAAAAGCTTGGCAAGCATGCGGATTACGTTTTTAGGGCGAAGGAGTGGCCAAAGAAGTTCAAGCGCGCGGATGATGATGACTTCTTCGTTACAGCTGGAAATTCGTGGTTAGTGTTTGGTATAAGGTTGTACTGTTTATGGTTAAAATTGAAATGCTGAATTTTTTTCAAGAGGGCAATTTCGACGGGTTGTGTGTACTCATGCAAGATAATGATGGTGCGGGGGGTTGTTAGTCAGGGGGCAAAAGATAAAGATTTGTCGTAAAGGGTCGTAGTTACGGAGGAGGCCGTGGAGGTTAGTGGATTTTAGTAAGTGGATTTAAGTACGTGAAAATTAGGAATTGAGTCTATGTACATTTTGAGTTAGTAAACATGAAGCGATCACGGGGATTGCGAGATGGTGAACTGTTGAACTGTGAAGACAGTGTCGTTGGATGAATTTAAATTAAGTGTGGGTGTGTTAGTTTAGTTTTCAACCTAACTTCATGAGAACAGTTAATCTCTCGTTCTTTTGGTGTTAGAAAAATAAATGTGAGTGCAAAATGATCAAGTTCACTGAAAAATGGTTCGTAAATTTATATGTTCATGAGTGCGTGGTCGATGATGTGGACGAGTTTTTTATGTGAACTATCGAGGTGAAAAATATATTCTGATTTGATGAAAAACTTTTCGGTTAATTAGGCGTTTACCATAGGGTCAGTGTCATATGGTGAATCTTCCATATATCGGACGACAATATGATCCTAAAGATTAATAGGATATCTGTTATCTTTTTGTGCAATGAATCTGTCAAGTGTTTGATTTAAGCCTACACTTGTAAATTAATTAAGGTGAAGTGCGTTATTTTTTTGTGGATGATTGATTCGCAAAACTCATAGTTGTCTGTATTCTTTCCTAATTGTACGTTTAGTGGGTTAGTGAAGTTATAAAATGATATCCATGAAAGGGTTGGGAGAAGGGAAAGTTCATCATCATATTGTGCTCGTTGGGCTGAGTTTTCACCGTTTTAATAGCTGTATTGGGGAAAGAAGGGAAAGTGTTCTACTAAAAATGCGCGTGCATTATTATGACGTGGGTAATGGTAAAGGAGTCGAGATGATGATGGGCGGTTATTGAGGAATTGTGGTGTAAATTTGGGGTGCTTAAATTCCATAAACACTCTTTGTGCGCGTGTGGGGGCAATGTGGACAGATGGGATGGAGGAATCAGATTGAAGCAGTGTGGGTTAGTTGATGAATAGGTAATGATTTATTGGTGTTATGAATTTGCCGCTGGTTGGTAACAAAAACTTCTAAAGCATGCACTAGCTGGTCATCTGTGATGAGGCTTGATACATCAGGTGCATTAGTTGAAAGAGGGAAAAGGATAGGGTAGCGTCAGTAGGCGAGGAGGTGGAGGTGGAGGTAGGGTTTTCAACAGGGGTAGGGGAGTTAAGGAATGAAAAGGTGGTTGAGAAAATTAGTGGGAGTGGGCTCGGAATCTAGGAATTGAGAGGAATCTATTAAAAGCTATTTGATTTGAGTCATCAGAGTCCATGCGTGGTGAGTTAGACAAAAAACTGGGTAAGGTGGAAGAAGTTAAGTCTGAAATTGTAAAGAGAGAATCGTGGCTTTGGAGATTATATGGATAGGAAAGGAAACGGTTGAGGGATTCAACTTAGCGGCTCATTGTGGGCTAAAAAGACGGTTGTTTTGAGAAGGAAAATTCAAGGAAACTTTGTTTGTATGTATTGTCGATAGTGTGTGTTTGAAGTGCTATATGTGATATGGGGCTACGTTGTAGGTTACTGTTATGAAATATTCGTTCGGTGGTCGAAAGTGTAATTCGATAACTTTGTGGAATTAGTGATAGAGGGTGATTGCTTTGTAAACTGTGTAATGCAACACCCAGTTGACTTGTGTATGTATTGCGTATGTGTTAAAAGCTTTTTTATTAGTGGAAAGAGGAATTCTAAAAATATAAACAATGCATAATAGATAATCAATCTTTCTAAGATATAGTAGGGCCATCCTAAAAATGCTAGGAAGTCGTTTTTGGTTTTTAAAAAACTTAAAAAATATATTGATTGGTGAATCATCTTGTGGGCGAAATTTTTACCCATTCATATATAATCTTTGTTGGCTTTAAAATAATCACTGTAGTATTTTCGGTAGTTGTCTGAAAAACTCGCTGTTTGCAGAGGTTTTGGTGATTGATTGTCTTTGGATTGTATCTATTTTAGTTATAAATTCTCGAAAATGTTGTGTTCGAATGTGATGTGTAAATCTGATTTGGAATATATGCTTATAGAATGTAGATCTTTGATTGGGTTGCGAGCGAATGCGCGTACGATTTCAACTGAGAAATTCTTTAAAGGTGGCATTAAAGTAGGTTATGGAGTAAGAAGATAACTTTTATCTTCGTTTGGGTTAA